GCTCACCTGATCTTTACTCCTTGCTGCTCAAACACCGAGTGCTCGCAATGGGAAAGACCTAAATCAAACGTAGCAGCATAATGTACAGCTGCTCAAAAACCAGAACAGAAACGTTCACCTAGTTGCCATGTTACTTGTGAGCACCGCTGCTTGCACCGCTGTACTGCACGGGTCTGAAAGCAAAAGGATGCAGTAGGAAGACAGATCTATGGGATTTTCTCCGTACACGAACCTACTGGCACAGTAGAAACATTTCGGTGACACTGAGAAGAAAGGCTTCACGCCAGCTTTGCGTGCGACAACAGTTCAGTCGCAAATCTTTGCACTGCTGCAGTTTTTACCTTCACTTGGCGTTGCTCAGTATGGGTGGTTTCATTTTTAGGTGTCAAAACTATGCACAAACCTACCCAGGAATATAATGCAGCAGTTCCTAATGCCGTTTTATTATCCTAAATTAGAATAACGATTCCCGCTCTCTATTTGTACCTCTGATGTCCTCATTTCTTAGAAATTTCGCCACACAGAAATCCCGAGGCGGGATGCATACTGACCACCAGACACCCATAAACATAAACATACGAGGTAGACTTCAATTATTTATCAGGACCACTCTCTGGATGTATCCTACAAATACTGCAGAACGGAACAAAACCACACTTGCGTATTGCAAAGTGGCACATGCGCAACAGAAACCACCTTCCCACCGTCCCTCGCCTTCCCAAGACCCTTTACAAACCTCCTTTCAACTGAAAAAATAAAACCAAACCACACCTCCACGTCCTTCATCCTCCCTCGTCTCTTGCTCAGTTGAAATCCATTTTCCAGCTGCCTCCCTTCCACCTCATCACTCTGCTCTGCCAGCCCATCCCCTCCCTCCTCGCCCCACAGCCCCCGCCAGCGACTTCTCCAGCCAGGCCCAGCTCCCGCCCAGGACCCGTCCCGTCAACTGGCTATTGCAAAATGTTTCACGCAGGCTTCGGAGAAATAGGAAGTTGCATCCAAGTAAAAGCAGGAATACATTTCTCAGAGACTGATTGTGGCTTTCAGAGATCACAAGGCTTTTCTGCTTGCAGTCTTAGGGCTGTGGACCCGTCCCGTCAACTGGCTATTGCAAAATGTTTCACGCAGGCTTCGGAGAAATAGGAAGTTGCATCCAAGTAAAAGCAGGAATACATTTCTCAGAGACTGATTGTGGCTTTCAGAGATCACAAGGCTTTTCTGCTTGCAGTCTTAGGGCTGTAAAATTCCCCCCTTCCATTCAAGGAGAAGGTAGGATCCCATACAAACACATACACCACCCCCCCCCACCCTTCAGGCTTGGCCGCGCCGCCACTTACCAGAAACTCCAGGAAAGACGCAGTGGAAGCTCCTGGGACCACGGGAGGAGGGAGATTCCCACGTTCAGCGCCAAGGTGGTGCACGGGGCCGCGGTGCCAGCGGCAGGAGAGCCCTCCGACTGCCCCTCCCTTGGAGACCTAGCAACAGCAAAGCTAGGGAGACAGAAACCGTACAGCTGCGCAGCATACAGCCAGAGTCACCTAGCAAATAACTTTTATAAGTAATTCCTTATAAAAATCCAGCAGCCAGACGCCCTTTTCAATTTTGTTAATGAAAAACAGTAAAAATCAACAGCTGAAGACATCTTTAGATCAAGCACTGGAGAAAAACACAGGCCATTACTTCACGGGTTTTCCAGATGAATTGATCTGGGTTAAGAAGTGACCTGTCCAGAGGCAAACGCCACTATCAACTCTATTTCCAAAGCAGCATCCCTCCTACGATGTGGTATAAAAGTGGATTTCTTAAGAGAACTGAAGTCCCTGACGGTCTTACGAGTTCGGTGACAACCACTTCAATCACTTCAACAATTCTCAAAGTTGTGCACAACCACGAACGGGGACTGTAGGTAACTTAGCGCCAACCCTTGTGATTCTAAGGCTAAGAGAATAAACAGATAATAAACTAACCTCTTGTTAGGAAAGGCTTGATTTTGCATAGCTGAACTTGGAAGAAGGTCCTGCTCCATCTCACATGCTGAAAACGCTGGAGGTTTTTTTGCATAGTAAGGCAGGCATAGCTCAAACATTCAGCCCGACTGAAGTACCTTCATCCTGAAACTTCCTGAGACAACGAGGAACTTTGAATCTCCTGGTGAGATTCAACGTTTACCTGCCTGCCACGAGCCCCAAAAGCG